ATGAACAGAGCTGCAGAAGGGAAAATGCATGAGTCAATATTCATCCATATATTCATGATCTGTAGGGTTGAGTGCTGTGATGCTCATTATCTAGGCATGACCTTAAAAACTGCAGTTGATTAAGAACATGGCAGCCCATCTGCTTGGCAACACAGGCTGATGGGGGCCTCACCCCAGGCCTCTGCTCCCTGCACTACCTCTCTGTTCTTTGTTTGAATACAAATTCAAGGACACAGGCTTCATCTCCAAATCCTTTGCTAGGGGCTGAGAGAAGGTATCCACAACTCCTCACTCTCAAGAGCAGCGAGTGAAATCTGTGTGTGCAGGACACACAGCTTACCCTGTGTCCCATCTCCAGCTCTATACAGCAAATTTCCTCCTCCTCCCTCTCTCCCCAAAACAAGCAGAGATCACAAGCCTGTATGCCTGAAAATCTCTATCTTCCACTTGTCCTCTCACAAAGGCTACAGAAACAGCCATCCCATAGTCCCTGCTTGGCAACGTGGAACTCATGCCATGAGTGTTCTTTACAGTTGAGGTGGAGGTACCACTGCAACAGGTACGGTCCTACAGCCAGCCTGGATGTCACAGGGAGTGTGCTACAGCCAACACTGAGGTGTTTCTGCCCCTTAGCTATGCAGCATGGCTCTGCTGGGTTGAACCCCCCCTCCCCAGCTCTCCTCTCCACACAGGAGAATGAGCAAATTCCTGAATGAAAACTGTGAGGAGGGGACAGGGGGCCTCTTCTCTTTTCTGCACTGTCCCGCCCTGTTTTCAACTGACCAAAGAAATGAATGAGAACTGTCCACTGCCACCTAATCATGTGAAACACAGTCACCAGGAAAGAGGAAGCAATGTTAAATTTTCTGTCTATGTGAAAAATCCTCCCTTCCTCCAGACGCCTTCCTGAGCCTGCTTTCTAGCATCCCTTCTTCTTTAAAAGAAAACATGTCTTTCTTCTAAGCAATTAAACTCTATAAAAAAGGGACATTTTCTCCATTATACTTTCCCATCTCCCCTTTCCTGGATGGCAATCACACACTCCAGAGCTCACGCTGAGAAGGATATTCTGCCACTGGTCACATCTGGTTCCCGGATGAGATCCACAGGCGGCTGAGCTGGAGCGGTTGCTGGGTCACGTGGTGGCTCTAGGTTGCCTTATCTTCCTGAAGACCAGTGCCTTTTAATCTCCTTTGATTCCATTTCTCTCTTTTTGTAGCACTCTTATCAGTTTGAAACTCAACTGCTGCACAAATGCTCATGAGATCAATCTACAGATCTTAAATATGGTAAAACGAGGTGTTTCTCTGAGCAATCTGTTGGAGAGATTTTGTACTGACTTTTAGACTAGTTCCACACTGGTATGCATTCCTTTAGCATTAATGCTTCCTCTGGGACTCGAACCTTACAGAAATATGAGAACCGAGCGTGCAGGCTGCAGATGCACTGTGCAAGTCAGCCTGTGTGCAGTGTGTGTGTGAAGACATGCCACAGCTCTGGCTGAGGAAAGAGAAATTCACAGCCTATCTCCTCCAGCTACTGCTGGAAAAATGACTTTCTTTAAGCTCTGTAATTTTCATTTGAGGAAGAAGGATGGGGTTGGGATTTTTTTGTCTTTTTTTTCTCTAAAAATAACTTCCAGCAGAGCCTCCTCAGTGTGTGCTATTAAGAATGGAAAATAAGAAATAAGTCAATGGGCATATATTAAGTTCATAAGGCCAGGAGTTTATCAATAATGGGCTGAGGATGAAGGATACAGTGACAGTTGCATTTTAGCACTCAGAATAAAGTAAATCAATCACATTGACTGTATGTTGATTTAAAATCCTCAAAGATTTGGGCTAAGATCATTCTAGTTTTCCTAGAACAGATTTGTTACTTGGAATCTTCATGTCAGTAATACAGAAATGTTCCTGTTTCATTTTCCCAGCCTCCACTGATACCGTGTGCTCCTTGCTGTGCTTGATTCTGTTTGAACAATTAAAATAAAGAGGCCTCACTAGCCACGGGTCAGTGCTAAAACATTTGGGCTGTAAATAATGAGACGGTGGTGGCTGCTCTACAGCCATTGAGTACTGGCTGTAAAAACTTGAGAGACATAAAAGACTACTTCCTCATTTTTTAGGTTAAAATTTAAGTTATTTAAAACACTTTTATTTCTGTAGTTCTCCATTCCTTACAGGCTTACTTAGGCTAACTACAAAGAGGTCCTTTTGATAGTTGTATCTGTGGGATTTTAAATACTACAGATCAAAATGTACCTTAAGTCATCCTTGAATAGTATACAATAATTAAACTGATTAAATTCAAATGGTAGGTGAGAGCTGTGAATGGTGCAACCTTCAGTTGGATGGTTGTGTATAAAAAACCCTTCTTGCACCTCATGAGACTGAACTTGGAGACATAAAGCCCAATCGTGTTGCCCCTGGGCTGAGCCCTTGCTCGAAGGGAGGTGTTGGGGTGCAGGGGGTGATGAGAGTCTGGTGCTGAACCAGGCCACAGAGCCATTTGTGTTTGTTCTGACAGGGATCGAAACAAGGGAGAAGCAAACATCTTCTGAAAGTTCTCATGTTGGGGGGTGTTTAAAAGAGAATTTCACACAGAACCACAGCACAGACTATGAAAGAAAGACTATTTCTGTCAAGACTTACTTGAGGAAATGTAGTTTTCTTTCCTAACTGGATTGCTATTGATAATCTGCAGTAATTCTGTCTGGTCTGTCTAATTTAGCAACAAAACATGGATCTTGAAGCTGTGCACAAGAATGAGGCAGATTTTTAAAAACAGCTTTTCTGAATAGAAAGACGGTAACTTATGGCAGCAAAACAAAAGATCTTTTTTTCTGTGCTGTTGTTTTGATGTAAAACACGCAAGTTCTTACACTCTCTTTTTAAGGGAAAGAAATGCATTTTTGTAAATGGTACATCAACAGACCTTGAAAAAATTGAGTGGAGAAAAAACCCGGAATTCATTTTGTTTCTCTAAGCACTTTCCCATGTTTCAGATTTTGTACTGATAGATTGATGATATGATTTGCTTTAAAACCAGGTGGCCTCTTAGTTTCCATCTGTTGTGTCTATTGCTCTGTCTCTAGTGAGAAGCACTGCATAGCTGTGCAGGCATCTGTACCCCTGAGAGAAAACTCTTTACGCTATCAGAAATGCTCAGGGAGGGAGAATCTGCTTTTACAGTATCTTAAATATGAGACTTATCAGAGACTCGAGCCCCTGGAAGGACTCATGCAAAACAAATGCACTGGATTTATATTAGCTTCGTGCAAACAGCTTTACAACAAAACCAAAACCTAGTAACATTTCACAGAAACGTAATCACAAACTGATTTGGGCTGGAAGGGACCTTAAAGCTCATCCAGTTCCAAACCCCTGCTGTGGGCAGGGTCACCTTTCACTAGAGCAGATTGCTTCAAGCCCCCATCTCCCCAAACTGCCTGAATCTCCTGCAAATGTTTGCTGCCATTTCTTGTCTCTGGATGTGGCACTGCTTTAGAGAGAATGTCTTCCTCAAAGCAGCAGTTTCAATGGGTAAACACCACCATCTGAGCAAGGAGCTGCCAGCCATGATTTTTCAGGTTCTGCAGAAAAGCGACTGACTTGGGAGCTTAAACTGTGTGAGTGGAGTCTTATGGAAGAAATGACTTATTTGAACCAACATGTCTTCGGTAGCATGTTCCCTGCAGTGCTGGTGTAGGTGTAGATGATGCAGTGACAGAGAGAGGAGACACAGCAGCTGAGTGTTACGCTGCACATGGCTGCATTGCCCTGGAAGTTGTGCATTATACATCCCTGGTTGCGCAGGATGCAGAACGGGACCTTCCCCCACAGCTCCCAGGGAATGCACTCCTGTTGGGAAGGTGTCACAGGGTCCAACTGTTATCGAGACAGCCAAGCACAGCAACAGGACACTGGGAGGAATTTGGGAAACAGGAGAAGGCCAAGGCATGGGACAAACAAGATGGAACTGGCAGTCATGGCCAAAAAGCAGGGCTCCCCGGCTGTGAAGCTTTACACCTGGGGAGCCCCATGGTGCTAATCTTAACACCAGGCACCTGGTGTCAGGAATAACATCAGGTGCTCAGTGTTAGTTCTAATGAACCTCGAATCGAACAAGCAGGTCCCTCACATCTGCCCTTCCCACCCCAGCTGAGGAGGCAGCTCATCAGCTCTATACTGCCTGCCCGTAGCAGTTCACCTCATCTTGCTCAGAGACTGGTTCTTCCTTACAGAGTAAGTGCTATTTTTACCTGGTTCAGGGCTGAGTAGAAGTGGAGTTATGTTGGCATGGCTTGTTCCATTTGCTGAGGTGCACTGAGTCCTGCTGGCATTAGCACTTTCAGCTATGGCAGCACTGGGAGTTTCCCAGTCACACCAGCAAACACCTTCAGATGGCGCCGGGCCTTGGTGTACGGAAGCTGACGAAGTTCGAGCACTCACGCCCGCCTTTTGCCCACTTTAGACCATTAGTGAGACTTCCTATTTTCTTTTTTATTTATTGTGAGGTTTGCTTTTAGTTTTTTTTATAAATTGTAAGAAATCCGGTTGAATTCCAAGTTAAAGTTCAACTTAACCATACTAACATTGGTTCTGATCTGCAAAATGCACTAATTTGGGGATTAAGGCTTTTCTGTCGGGAACGCTGCGTATGGTCCCGCTGAGACCTTCATCCCTGTAACCCCAGGAGGTGTTTCACTGCGGGCACACGGCCGCGTAGCGCCTCGGCTATTCGGTGGGTGGATATACGTCCCCCCCTCACCGCCCTCCTGCGCTGGCACAGCGGGAGCGAAGCGGAGGCGGCGGCGCCCGCTTCCCCCCGCGCGAGCGGGAGTTGCTCAATCCGGGCCCGCCCGGGAAACCCCAGGGGCGGGCGCTCCGAACGCGGGGACTCCGCCGTGTCGCGGCGGGACGGGCGGCGCGGCCGCTTGCTCGGGGCTCCGCACGGCACCGCCTCCCGTTTGCGCGCTCCCGGCACGCCCGGCCTGCGTGGCAGCCGGCGGGGCGCGCACTCGGGCGGCGGCGCGTGCGCTTGGGGCGGCGAGCGCGCGCGGCGAAGTTGCGTGTGGGACGCGGCGCCGCTCGCTCTGTCGCTGCGGGGCTGTGTGGGGGCCGCGGCCGCCTGAACTCCCCCCCCCCCCGCCTCCGCCCCGCTCCTCCTTTCGCGGCCGGTCACCGGCGCTTCTCCGCCGCTTCGCCGGCTGCAGGTGAGCACCGCAGGGCCCCGCGGCCGCCGAGGGCCGTGCTGTGCCGGGGGTGTAACCGCCGCGGGCCGCTTCGCCGCGCGGCCCCTCGGGCGGTGCGGCCGCGCCTCCGTCGGCTTCCTCCGCTCCGCGCTGAGGGCGCAGAGGAGGGTGCGGGATGCCGGGGCCGTGGAGGCCCGCGCGGGGTCTGGGCCGTGGGGCCTCGTGGCCTGCCTTCCGCCTCACCGGGGCTGCCGCGGCAGCGAGGCCGACACGTGCCCGGGCGGGAGGGGAACGAACGGGGATGGAGGGCTCGGGTCCTGCGGGAGGTGGCGTCCGGCGGCGCTGCGATGCGAGCGGAGTTAGAACTGTTGTAAAAGCAGGAATGTTTGAGCGGTTCGGTGTCACTGCAGAGCTCTGTAGAGGGGTTTTGGTATTTTAACACTAAAAGCAGCAGCGTACCTCGCACACGTACCCTGTGGAGGGGTCCCCCCGGAGGCTCACTGCCCGCTGGGGAGCCCGGTGTGTGCTGTTGAGTCCGTCTGCCTCCTCTCCGGGGGAACCGGGTACTCCTGGGGCTGGCAGAGAGTGCCCCGAGGGCTCCGGGAGCCCCCGGCACCCTCCCGAGCCGCTTCCCCCAGCGGCCTCCTGAGCCGGCAGCTCCGGGCCTGTCCCGTTCTCTCTGCAAGGGGAACGGACCTGTCTGGTGTTGCTCCCTCAAACGACAGGAACCTGGAGAAAACCGGCGCTTCAGGGATTAACCACGTTGCTTTGGAGAGAGCACATGTTAGAGCTGAGCTAAGAAATACCTTCTTTTTTATTTTTTTTCTTTCTTTTTTCCCCCAACATGTTATTTCCTCCGAAGTGTGATTTATGCCTGTTTAGAGCAATGGTAGATTTCTGAGCTCCATCTGTTTGTCTGTCTGTTCGCACACGCAGGGTATTTCTGCCAACGGTGATTGCCGATGGCATTATTGCAGTGTAAGTAGTTTGATAGGAAATATTGTAGCAATTAGAAGTCCAGTGATGCAAGTTCCTGATGCGTTATGAGTGTCTCGCTGTCATTTCTGTGTCTCCTTTAAAAGTTCATTTTTGTGAATCATTGTAAGCAACCGTTGCACTTCTGCAGCATTTCTGTAGTTTTTGCATCTTGAGACATCTCTTGACACTGAGTCAAACTCTTTCCACTGTTAATCTTTCCCTGTCGACAGTCTTTGTGACGGTAATCTTTTAAGCAACGATGGGGAGGGAGGGAAGGAACCTCTTTTCAGTAAGAATGTTGCTGCCCCTGTTTCCTATGGCTCTGCTAAAAAAATGGGGCTGGGAGGAATTTCTCTTATGATGGAAAAAGAGTATCTTCTGTGGGAAGTGAGATTTCTAGATGGAGTGCGAGTGACTGCTATCGCCCCAAAGGAATTGCACAAGAGAACCAACCTTTTGGTTTCTTAACACCTGTGACCTATAAAACACTTCTTGTTTGGTTTTCCCGCCTTCCTCTGGAATTCTGTTTCTTGATGAGTACATATTTTATGGGACAGGACGGACATGTAATTGGAACATGAGTTTTAATACACCATTTCAAATTCCTCAGTATTCATTTTAGGGAGAAAAGCTGGGGAAGATGAATTACTTGGGCCCCAAAGCTACACAGGGAAACAGATATTTTTTTTTGGTAGCACGTTGTAGCATTCCATGATCCTGCCCGAGAAGTTTCACATCAGTATAGAACACTTAAATGTACATAGAAAAATATTGAGCCTATACTGGCTTTTCTTATACCTCATAGGAATCAAGGCTGTGCTGAGGAAAATAGTGGAAGATGCTGAGGTTTCTCTTTCAGCATGCTTTTTGGATTTACGCACTCCTACCTGTTGAGTACTGAGCAAGTGATCAGTGGCTGTTTACTCTGAGTAAAAGGAGTCATTTTCTTCTGTGGTAATAAGAGCCAGAAATACCTGCGTGGGTTTTGATCCTGCTCTACCTCTGCTTTATTAGCTATGAAATGGGGAATAGTTACCAGCAAGTGTCCACCTCCTGCACACCTTCTGGATGCGTAGAAGGCTAATTAATGGGTGTCTGTTCTTTACGTGGTGCCAGATAGATTTAACCTCAAGGCTATGACAAATGTATACACAACAGTGTGCAGTACAGGCTAGACCGTGTGAACTGGAGGAGCCAGTAAGTGGGGCAGTGGGGGGAAATCAAATGTGCTCATTCTGAAATTAAAGCAAGAAAATGGACAGTGTGTTCTGGAGGAGCAGAAGAAGTACCGAGGGAAGATTTAAAAAGTGAGATGATGAAAGTAGGAGTCAGTGTGACCTCTGGGGTTTGACTTTTGCTCTTTCCTAAATGAAGCCTGGTTGGGATATAGTCCTTACAGGAAGTGAGTTTAATAGCTCAACTTGTGGTTTGGGTTTTTTCATTCTAATATGCTTTTCTCAGATCTTCTTGTTATAGAAGAGGGTGTTTATGGTGATCTCCAGCAAATGAGAAGAATAAGCATACAGAACCTCTTTTTAGAAGTTGAGATCATCTTTACCATTAAGCGAGCACGTTTTTAATTGCAACCTTCTGAGTCATACTACAGTTCAGCACTCACCTAGATGCATAGTGGCCACAATGCTCTGTGTGGGTAGAGAGTTGTGATTAAGGAAGCCATGAAAAGCCATTCTACCTGTGACACACACTTCTGCATTTGTCCTGTAAACTCACTTAACCAGTTTGGTTTCTCTTCCTTGGGAATGATGGTGACTAATTCACTGTACATCTGAGTGCTTGTCTGGGTTGTTTGTAGGAAGTTATATTTGTCTTTGCGTACAGTATAAATGCAAGATGCAAGAAAAACATTCTTGCAGTATTGAAAGCAAACGAAGTTTTCATGTAGCTGAAATGCCTAATTCACAATTGTCTTGATACAAATGTTGTCACTGAAGACCCTGAAAATGCGACTTTGATGAGAAAATGGTGACCCACTCTGCTGGTTTGGCAGCAGAGGAGGCTCGTGTGTTTGTGACACATGGACTGGACAGAATGGCCTTTGCTAAATAAAATCCTGTTGAAGTTAAAGGTTGTCCGAAATGGACAGAGTTAACACTGTCCAGTTAAAGGCAAGGGGCCTTGAAAATCCTTTCTTCTATCCTGAGTCCTGTTAAATGCTATTATACTCACCCTTCCCTTTGAAAAGCTTTTAGTACAAGCACATGCAAGTGCTCAGCAAGCTCTTTGTGCTTCTTCTAAGCTCTTTTCTAAGTGCCTTAGAAGATAAGTATGGTTCATCTGAAAGCCGAGGACAACAGAATAGGGAAGATTTGGCATGTCTCAGCATCATGCACAGTCCCTGCATCGCTGAGCTACCATCAGCTTGGTACAACCAACCCTTGTGTTCTCTGTTCTGCTGTGCCAGGGGTTGCATTTGGGATATTGGTGTAAAACTGAGGAAGTAAAAAAAGGAGGGGAGAAAACCCAACCCAAACCAAAGTTGTATTAAATAAGAGGATTGAACCACTTTACTCTTTGTGGCAGCTGAAAGGGCAAGTTGTGTTTTCCCTGACTGTGTCTTCACCCAAAGGGGAACTGAGCCACGGAGGGATGGAAGGACCATTGCAGTGGAGGGGCTAGGATGTGCACTGGGGAAGGCAGGCTGGACCCTTCTGGCCTCATGCTTTAAATGGAGCAAGGATCTGTTGGCTGCAGAGCACGTCGGATGTGATGTAATAGGTCTTTTCACTTCTGAATTCCATGTTTCACTGTAGAACTGCGTCTCTAAGATTAGAAGGAGGCGGAAAAAAAAATATCTAGGAGATAGAATGTGTGTTCAAACTGAGAGGTGATGTTGCCCCTGGCAGTGTTCTTCCTTTCTGAAGAAAAAAACAGAAGCCAAAAAATTTGCATGCAAAATCTAGATTGAAGACTGACGTTAAAATAATAGCAGCTTTTTTTTTTTTCCCCCAGCAAGTTGAAGTTGCTGCACTGTGTGTAAATATCACAGAAAATTAAATGGTATAAAACACTTCTTTAAACATTTCTCTCAGGTTTGGGGGATGTGGAGATCCCTGCGTCTGCTTTTAAGGCCAGTTGGAAGCTGCTGTCTGAAGTCGGCTGCAGTGTAGGACAGGGAGAAGAGAGGTTCTGTGTAATTGTGTGATGAAGTGGGTAGTTCTAGAGCTTGTGAGCTAGGTTTTGTTTAAAACTAGCAAGCCACAGGGAGCTATTTTTAATAGTAGTTTGAATGCAGAAGTCTGTAAAGCTGTCAAATCCCTTTATGGGTAGATGGGTCTTCTATCTTGGCTTTTTTTTATATGCATATTGGATTGGATCGAGATTACTGCGTGTTCTAACCTGTGCTAAGTATTTAAACATCTGGACTTGCTGTAAGTGCCGTTGTTGCTCCTGTGTGAGGGGTGTTTTGGATTGTTTTTTATCATTTAAAAGTATTTTGGGAGAAAATATTTTTCTTCCATTCTACCAGTGAATTTGGCTTCCTGTGATCAGTCAGATGATCGAGTTTATCCATGGCATGGTGAAATAAATTGCAAATAATTTTATGGTATCAGTATGATTAAAGGAATTACATTTCTAAAGTGTTTACTTCAGCTTGGTGCTACTTTAAGTGTCTGCTATCATAGATTCCAGGCAGTGAACAGCTGTCTGTCGCAGATGGGAGAGGAAAAAATCTTCCCCTTAGCCTCTTACTTCTAAAAGGTTTCCATATAAAACCAGTAGTAATGTAATACAACCTTTTAGTCAAATTTGAGTTTCCTGTTACATGTTTAAGTGAACTGACAGCAGACTCTATTTGAAACCAAATAGTGTAAGTGAATGAGACTCTAGGAATATTGTTCTTGAAAGTTCACAAATGTTCATTTAGCAGCCAGAATGCATTGTTTATTAAGTATCAGGAAAACAAAACCAATAACTTCCCCCCCCTGCTCCCCCAACAACTGTCCCCCCTTGCAGGTAGTTTATGAGTTAATTCTTTTGTCTGCTGTTCCAGTGAAGTGGTATTGTCTGTCCTGTTCTTGTAC